CTTCCCAACCTCTTGAAGAAGTGGAACTTTCACAATGTCGCAGTGTTATGTCACCATGACACAGCCCGTTAGTTCAGAATTTATACAGATGTTTCATCAAACTAGACAATTTTAAATGTTACATTTTATGCTTGTAATTGCTGCATTAGAAGGGAAGGAAGAAAATTTGGCAGAGAAACATTTTTCTTTAAACAACAACAGCCTTGGAGAATTGCTTATTCTTTATTTGTCAGCAACATTTTCATAAAGGCAATGTTTTTCTAAAAAAAAAAAAAAAAAAAGCTTAACTGCTTGGTATGGCAGAATAGATGGGTCACTCTTATTTCCAGAATAAGGAATCCTGCATGCAGTCATATTTGGCAGGAGTTATAGGCAACTTGGGTTTCAGTGGTGTAATCATGGCAGTGAATTACAACAAATAATGAAGTCTAATTAATACAAACATAGGAAATGCTACTGTTAGGGAGGTTTCCACTGAAATACAGTTTTGAAAATAGGGCTATCTTCCTCTGCAGGAAAAAAAAAAGAATGTTTCCAACTCTTCTTGACATATAGTACTTAAGAAGAAATGCTGCATAATGCAGTAATATATAACCTAAATCTCAACTGCCTGGATTTGTCCTGTAATATGACTTTATTTACAATTTTAATATATTTCCAGAGGAAGATACAGCCTTTATCTTCAATGCTATTATATTATTTGTCGAGAATGGGAAACAAGGCAGAGAAACAGAATCAGCACAGTGTTTTGCACAAAGCCATCCAAGCTCACAGTCATTCAGTGAAAGGCTACGTGTTTCAAAACATGCAGCTGAAGGTCCTGTATTACAAGGAACAGCTACATCTGTGTTAAGAGCCCTGTAAAAAAAAAAATCAATGTACACAAAGCTTTAATTGGCAGTGTCTGCCTTCTGTGGAATTACATTTTCATTTTCTTCATATTTCAAAGGTAAAATACATTACAGCTTTAGATCTCTGTGGAAAAAACTGTCAATGATTTTGACTATTTATCTGCAGGCTATACCTACAGTGAGGAAATAATCTTCATGCTGTAAGTTGTGAAATATTTAGCACAACAACAGTTAGATCACAGCTTGGGCTCTAAAATGTCACAGCAATGAAAGAAATAAATACTAAGACATACATCATCACAGCAAATTTACTCTATCTGCTGTCTTGCATAGTTAGACACCAGCTCGTGTCAAACTGGAAGCCGTGCAAACATATTAGCATAGCACTGTTCTCAGCCTAGCAAATCCAAGATCTCAGCAGGGATTATATGAGCCCAGCACTGTCCTGGCTGGCCCACATAGCTTCAGTTTGCCACAGACTCGCATCCCACTGGCATGGAGCCTGGGACTGGCTCTGCCTACAGGGACCGTGCACGAACACTCGTAGTTACTTGGAGTAGCATGAGGAGCCATTCATTCACACACAGAAACTCCACTTACATATATTTCATTCCACTGCCACAACTCCTAAGATTAGCAAATCAATCCAGATCCACTCATGAAGTACAGCTACTTCATTCTGCTTTGGCACAGCCAGTATTCCCTGGAAGGTCTGTGCCATCTTGCTTTTAAAAATTAAAAGAGTTGATTTGCACCATTAAGATTTCCAGCTAATTTTAAATTGCTTCAGGTAATCAAAATAAGGAAAAACAGACTATAGAATATGTCCTGACAGTATTTCATGTATCAGTTTCCCAAAGAGAAAAGGCATTCCATGACAGTTGCATAAAACGAAGATTATCTTTCCTTTGTAGGGATTGACAACATGAGAGAAAGAAAAGGCAATCAAAGATGCTTTTGGTATTATGAATTCAAACTCAGAGCTAATACACATATTGAGAGAAAGCAAATTAGAATGAGTGTGGAAACACAGCATTGTGTTACTCATACAACATTCTCTGCCTTGTGGTAATACAATGAGAAGAATGAATGCACTGAAGAGCTTATCAAATTTTGAATCACCAACACGAAGTGCCTTAGAAATGGCTGTTTCAAGGTACTACTGAATACAAAACGGTGTACAGTAGCAAAACCAGATATGTGCATTTCTCGGATCAACATTCTGAAATATAGAGGATGACTACACGTTCAGTTAGAGGCTTCAGATGCTCCTCCTAGAAGTGCTCACAATGCACAAAACCTTCAAGTATAGCTTCTTACATTACAGTCACAAACCACAGCCAGTTTACATATATATTTTCACATTTGTACTATTTTCATACATGCGAAAGGAGAGAGGAAGATTTCACCCTAGTGGAAGGAAGGAGCTGGGCAGGTAACTCCTGGAGATTTAATGTTTTATACAATACAGGAAACTGTAGCACAAATGCTGTTTCCTTCAACATTTTTTATCTGTTCCAGGATCACTGGTCATATGTCAACTCTAATATCTTGGAAATCACAGAGCAGTCCAGATTAGACTTTTAACTGGAAAAGTGAGTCAACTTAAGGAATTACTGTTGCAGTTAATACAAACAAAGCCAGTTCTGACCTACTGACTTAATAGAAGTCTATGAGAATTGAAAACAGTGATCCACTGCCATAGTGACTCTTTGCTCCCTAGATCCTGTATGTTACATTCCTTCCTTCCTTTACAAATATATAGGGACACTGTGAGTCCACCTTTTAAAGTCAGATAGAAACTACAGTAAAAGTCAAAAAAGCTCACTCTACATAGAAAGCACAGCACTGCATTCTAAAAAGAAATGAAGGATAATCTGGTATTCCAACACTAGCATCATCCACTTTAAATAGTATGTTTTATATAAGCACAAAACAATACAATACCCTCTTAACTGCATTTCCATTCTCACAAACTTGGATTATCTAAGCTAGTGGCACAAAATTGCAGCTTACTTTAGCACAGTCAGCCTCATGGGCCAACTTGATTCTTTTGAAATATCACTATGTATCGTTTGTTTAATTGTAAACAACCTTCTTTCCCAGATGTGCTTGTGAAATTCCCTAGAATTAATGCAGGCTATTTTGTTATTGTCTAATGTTACTTTTCCTTTTTCTTTATAATCTGATGATGAAATTAAAGAGTCCGCAAACAATTCCGTATGACATGGCAATCAGCTGCAATAGTCCCTAACTTTCACACACACGTGCCCTGCGGTACAGTATTTTCTGAAAAACTGCACCCCTTTCTGGTGACTGCAGCTAATCTGCAGAAACACAGCCAGAAGGCAGGAATGGACTTACAAATTAGACTTCAGCCTAGGCCAGCTGTTTTTCTAGCTTTATTCCCTTTATGACCATCTGTCCCACCTGCTAGTATATACTTCCCCTCACACAGGATACTAAAATGATTTGCTGTGCTGGCTGACATACAAGTATAGATGGAAACTGAACTGGATTAAATCCAACTTTGTGCCACTCAATATTTGGAGCTTTGGAAAAGGACCTTCTTGACTGGCAGTAAAATTTAAATCTGTCTCAAGTCTACTTTAATTTATGCCCACTTCACCTATGACCCAAACGCTAGCAGAGATTGTTGTCACTCTGTCTATGCTCCTTCTGGACTCTGCCAACCACTGAGAGGAAACAGTAGAGTTACACAAGACTCTCCTTTCTGTAAAGCAACTTTTGTCTTTTAAATACACTAGTACACTCTGCTGAATGAATCTATTGAGATCTATCTTGTCTGTTTGCTAAAGGCAAATCCACAAAATTCTGCACTCTATACAGGTGCAATCTTGGGGTTTCGAAACTAGATGGATGCCTGTTTATGTTAACATTTTCCAAAGCAGATATTTGGGCTAACAAGTCATGTTAAAACACCAACCTTGTGCAAATCTCCCAGAGAGACACAATACAAAGAAATGAGGAAGCGAGGAACTGGGAAGGGTTGAGAAAAGGGGAAAAAAATTAGATGGCACGTTGCTGCATGCCCAAATCCTGTAGTCATGGGCTCTAAAGTTTTCTTTGCTGTTTTTGATGAGATTAGCAGCAGAATAAATCTTATCAAGGAGGTCAACACGTATTCTGCAGCATTTATTTTCCATACTGGCTAAAGCACGACAGCTAAAAGGGAAATAACTACTTAAGCATAATTCAGAAGACCACACAGCATGACACTGCCCAAAAAATCAGGAAGAATGTTACAGTTACAAAGTGTATTGTTAGAATTTCATCTCATGTACTGCTGACAATAACAGGAATAACAGGAAAGGAACTGCTGAAAAGGCACAAGAGAGGTCAACAGTTTTGGAGTATTATTTTTAAACACATGCAAAAGATAGATCAGGCTTTTAAAGGACTGTAGAGCAGACAAAGCAAGGGGACGAAAAATTACATGTGTGATGCAAGGAATAAAGACGAGAAGTATAAATGAGAGGAGGGAATAAAGATGAGAAGTATAAATGAGAGAACAAAAGGGAATAAGGAATAAGGTAGAATTCAAAAGGACAAGTTGATGGACTTTATGTTTCCAACAGAAAATTGTAAGTTGACATCTGTGTCCATACCCTGTCTAAAATTAATTGTTAGTTAACAGCACTACATTCAGTAAGGAGGCAAAGGAAAACCATGGTATCTTAACTGAGCCCAGTTTTAAGCATAAGATTAAAGAAAAATAGATTCATTTTCACATCAGTTCCTGGCAGCTGCTCAGCATTCCTTATTGTCATAGCACTGTTTGCTAGCTGAGTGCTGAAAACATGCCAGAGCTGTGGTGTGTTTTACCGTCCTTCTGAGATCCTTAGGTCTGCAATTTTGAGACCAGATGGAAAAAACCTACTTTTGAAAACTGTTTATAATGCTAAAGTTTAACAAATAATAAAGTGTTACATAGACTTTGTCTCGGGGAAAAAAAAAACAAAACAAAACCACGAAAAAACTTACAGAATTTCTTACAGAACTATAATATTTAAAAAAAAAAAACAACAGCAAAAAACACCTGCAAAACAGTCACAGCCACATTGTGGATGCTCTCTGACACCATCAATTGAAATCCCCCAGGTATTCAAGTTCTAGCAAACAACGTACCTTGAAAGATTCAGTCATGTGCTTTGTTGCTTCCTCTGAACATCCTCCAGCCATGCACTTGTTCTGACAGCCCTAGAAGGAACAGAAATCAAATTCAGTGTGTGTTGCAGAAAGGTTGATACACATTCAATTAATTCTTTTTAAGAGAGACTGTATTGAATGAATTATCAGTAAATATATTAGAAAGATCATTCTTTGTAGTTTCTTAGCATAAGTTTCCATCATCCAGGTTTACAGTCTTACTTCAGTTGTGTTACTTTGCTGTATTTCAGAGTTTTAGTAGGAGTGACAACATCTTAGATTGGATTATTAACCTGAAGTGCAGTAAGGCTATAGACAATATCATGCACCTTTCATTCAATGCTGAGTAAATACATTGTGTTTTTACACATTTTCATCGCACTGCACTGCCTCTACTAAGGCATCCATCCCAGAAGATTTGGTTTTCCTTTTTCTCAGAAAAGCCTGACCAGGAGAACAGAAGAGAGAGGAGAAAGATTTTATTAAATGAAGGCAGTGATAAGGAACGCTCATCTATAAGAATACATACTCAAAGTATTTTGAATTACCTATTATGTTGAACTTCACTGTCCTGCCACTGATCACATTAAAATAAAAAACTGCAAGAAAAGAAGTGACAGTTGTTCCGTTCAGCAACAGAAGGCTAAGAAGGAGAGGTGCAAGCCATCTATCCCATCCATCTACAACAACAACCCTGTTTTCACAGCATCAGGCTTTGTGGGCCCTCCTGCACAAGGACCACCTTCCTTGCCAGTGGTATTAAAACCAACAGCATGCACAGAAGGAGACAAATAAAGCTTGACAGCATTTCTTGTTTCTGAGCAGCTTCTTTGACATCTGGGGGATGGGCCACAACGGGAAGGTGGAGAATGGCTAGAGGGAAGTGCCACTGATGAGATGGAGAGGGTGGCAGAAGGATGAGCTAGATGCTGAGATGTGGCAGGGATGGGTGGGCATGGGGACAGTCAGGCTGGTCACAGGGCTGTCTGAAAGAGTGAGGAAGGACAGAGGCGCTAAGGGATGGTGATGCCAAGGCTGACACGCATCAGCCCTGCAATAAAAGGGTCTGGGCTCCTCATCACTTGGTAGCTGCCTCAGACAGCCTCACCCCTCAGCTGCGTTGTGCCTCAGCTGGGAAGCCCCAGCCCAGGAAGCCCCATGTCAAAAGTTCATTTCTTTAAAGGAAAAGCACACTGGAAACCTGTGGTCAGTCTGAGATTGGTGCCCCAAGGGCTTTCCAGGGAGCAGACTTCACTCCAAGGGTGCACGGTGGGTGGCAGTGCCAGGGAGACCTGGTCCCCAGAATCTTCAGCAGCCACCACATCCTGGGAGCTGTAGCTGCATGGGATGCAAAGCAGGACATGCATAAAACAAACTGCATGATTTTCTCCCTTTTTGCAGATCGTAGGAGTTTGGCAGACAGAAGAAAAGAGCGGTATCAAATTCCCAGCTACAGATCTCACTTCCTTCTCTGTCTGTCCCCAAAATCCCAGAGAGGCCATAATGTCACTCCCGACTTTTCACATCATCAGCTTCAGCCCTTTCGTTCCTCTGTTGTTGTTCTTTTTTGTTTTTCCCACCCAACCTTCTACAGTGAGGCATGCAATCACAACTTCAGAGTTCTCTTTATTAACTAAAGGAGAATCTGCTGAAAGAAATCATAAATGCTTTTATGATGTACCAACATAATTTCTGCTAAAACCTTAAAAAAAAAGAAGAAAGAAAGAAAAAAAAAAAAAGATAAAAAAAAGTTTCATTTGCCATAGAATCATAGAATCATAGAATCACAAGGTTGGAAACGACCTATAAGATCATCTAGTCCAACCGTCTTCACACTACCATTGCTACCACAAGCTACTAACCCATATCTCGCAGCTCCTCGTCCAGATGCCTCTTGAACACTGACAGAGATGGCAACTTCACCACCTCCCTTGGCAGGCCATTCCAGTGCCTGACCACTCTCCGAGAGAAGAAGTTCTTCCTTAAGTCTAACCTAAGCCTCTTCTGGTACAACTTGCAGCCATTTCCCTGGGTCCTGTTCGTTGCCTGGGAGAAGAGGCCAAACCCCTCTTCACTATAACCTCCCTTCAGGAGGTTGTAGAGTGCAATGAGGTCTCCCCTGAGCCTCCTCTTCTCCAAACTAAACAATCCCAGCTCCTTCAGCCGCTCCTCATAGGAGTTGTGCTCCAGACCCCTCACCAGTCTTGTTGCCCTTCTCTGGACACGCTCCAGGGCCTCGATGTCTTTTTTGTAGTGAGGGTCCCAAAACTGAAAAGCATAAAGGTGATTCTCCAGAAAGGCAGGCCTTTTTGGTAGAGTCCGCTCAACGGCATTTAGAGTTGGACTGTTTTATAACTAAAGTATTACTCACATTCAGGACAGTCTGAACTAAGCACTGTATTAACAGGTCCTTAACGTCCCCCTGTTTCTTCACATACCTCCAAATTCAGTGGTATAGTCACAGTAGACTTCCACAGTACCACCAGTTTATAACAGCTACATATTCTGCTGATCGGTTAGATTAGAACAGTTTCATTGGAAAGAGAAACTTAATCTGTATAGATTCACCAAAACACAATGTGACTGCAAAAGATCTCCATTTCTGAATCTCTGCAAGGAAAACATATTTGCTGCTCACAGATGGATACATTAGTGGCTCCACACACAAACCTACTCAGTATTCAGGTGGGAAGGGTGGAGTTGCAATAAGATAAGCCTTGGTAATAGAGGAGATGAGGATGACAGTCCATGTTTTGATCTTTATTTCTTTCTCTGGTTGTTTTCAAGTATTGTAGAGGTAGCATTGCTAAGTAGTAGAAACACGGATAAAACGGGTTTGAGTTATATTCAAGTTTGAATGCATGGAACAGAAAGATAAATTGGGATATTATGAGCTTATTTATTACAATAAATTTGCAACATATCTTGTTTCAGTCAGCCTAAGCTGTAGGATTAAACTGACTGACGGACCTTTTTAATACACAAGTTGGTCTTCAAAAGAGTCTTAGTTCCTAGATCTTACCGTCCTTTAATCCCAAATTGATAGCAACTAACTCTTCTCTTTCACATTTTTAGTTACTTTTCTACTATCACCCATGCTTCAAAAGAGGTGGTCCTCAACCACTTGAACATGGCAAGCAAAGAGTAGCCCTGAAGAGATAAGAGGTACCCTGCAGGGAGATTTGAAGTATACAGCCACTTGAGGAGCAGACCAGGTACCAATCCTTGCAGAGAGCAGCTGCTGAGCAAGAGAAAAGCCTGCTGGCAAAGGCAAAGGAAGAAAGCACAGAGACAGTGGCACTGAAGCACCATGAGGAAGCCACCACCCAATCCAGCACTGCTCCAACCCTGCCATACCCTGCTGCAGCAGCAGAAAGGATTGAGTGCCATATTGTGGCCCCATCCCTCCTGCCACCAAGCAGCAGCCAGACCTTGGGTGCAATTCTGTGCTCCTCCATCTTACACAGTACCCAATTTTACAATTGGCCCACCGCAGCAGGAACCTCCTGGCACCCACAAGCACCAAAGCTGCATGCTCCTTGAGCCCTGCCTCTCCTTACCTCATCCTTTGCAACAGCAACACTGGCAAGCCATGCTGATTGTCACCTTATGGGCAGTCCCATACTGCCCAAATTGCACCTGCAGCTCTCACAGGGCATGTGCAGATGATGGGCTGGGCACCCTAGCACAGAACCCACTGCAGACAGCGGGAACAGCAGCACCACTTACAGGGTTCATAAGTTGAGAGGTCATAGATAGTTCTGGAAAGATGTTTGAGTAATAAACTTTCTCTGTTGTCAGGTTTTTATTTATTTAATGGCTTTGGAAATCAAATGTTTTAATAATAAACCTTTTTAGTTGTCATGTTCTTTTAGTCATTCATTCACTTATTCTAATGGTGAAATCTCAGATTGAATTTTATCTCTCAAAAGGAAGTAGAAGCAATGGTTCTAATATCAATTTATTGATTTTCTGCAAGAACCAAGCTCTAGATTCTTATCTGTAGAGATACATAAATAACAACAAAATATCAACTATTAATTTCAAGAAATACCCTCTTGTTCCTCCAGGAATTCAACAGCACCTCCGAGATCAGTGTCATCATCCAACTTCCTGAGAATGCACTTCATTTCTGCATACAGATCACTGATAAAAATGTTGAACAGGACTGGCTCTAGAACATCTTGGTGAACCACCACCAAGCAGATGCAGCCCCATTCACTACAATCCTCTGAGCTCTACCATTCAGCCAGCTGATCACCCAGCATGGTGTGAGCTTGTTCATGAGCTCTCCTAGATGGACAATTTGTCAAGAAAGATGCATGAATACTATCAAAGACCTCATTAAAATCCAGAAAGATTACATCTACAGCCTTCCATTAATCCATTAAGCAGGTGACCTTATCATAGGAGATCAAACTATTAAGATGGGACTTACTACTAAGATAGGACTAATTAAGCCAACTGAATTTTATTTGCGCTGCAGTGAATCAGAATGGAGGCTGTGCTTACATCAACTGCCAGCAGGATAAGCACATACTTCTCCAGTAGCCTTAGCTTCATTTGTGACATCTGTCTAATATCTAGTACATAAAATTGGATTTTCTAATAATTATCGGCAATAGCAATCATGGACAAGTACTCAGTCCTGATTTTTCAGTTTCTTCCCATCTCTGCTTCACAAAGTCACCTTCACAGAAGGGACAGCAACTGCATGTTGTGTCATCTTCTCTTTTATCTTTGAAAATATACAAAGCTTGTAGGTGAATTTCAAGCGTGGATTGCCTATGGGAATGGTCTGCAGGGGCTCAGTCTTTAAGGTGCCATTTAGTTCACAGCTCTCACTGAACTCAATGAAGTCAACAGCTCATTTTTTGAGCATGTGCCATGGGGCCAATCCCATTTTCCATTAAGTCATTCTGTTTCACAGATTTAACTTACATTTAAAGCAAGTAGCTAATTGCCTTTGTTAACCACACTGAGATTATATTGAGTTAATCCCACAGTAGTAGAAAGGCATACCACAATTGCTTTCTAATAGATGGAGTCAT